CCGGGCGGGAGGGAGCGGCCCTGGGCGCGGCCCCGGCCATCGATCCGTGCCACTTCCCCTAATGGCCCTTTTTTTTTTTTTTTTTTTTTTTTGATGAAGGTAAAATCCTGTAAGTACCTCTTCTCATTCTGCCAGTTTCCTGTGATAGAAATCTCAGCTCTGGTGTTTGCCTCCAGTTTCATTATTCTTTCTGGGGAGCTGAAGGCTGGGCAAACATGGGGCTCATGGAATATAAGCATGTTAATTGCGTTTATGTAAGGCAGGTTTTTCTCCGAAATGAGAAAATACTATTGCCATCTGCTGCCTTTGCAGATAGCGGGGCTCTTTCTGGGCCATAACCACAGAGACCGAATTAGCAGGTGCGTGGGTTCACTGGTGTTTGTCAGATTTTCTTCTGTCTTGAACTGTCTTTGACAAGTCCCAGCTCTCTGCTGGTTCTTCACAGGGGTATTCATGATGGTTTTTAACTTACAGATTATCTTGCTTGGCTTTTTTTTTCTGATCCCTTACCTTCTTTGCTGTCAAACGTAGCTGGAGTTGGATTAAATCCTTCCTATTCTAACCTGAGATAAGATAGAAGCCTTTTAAATAGTTTCAGAATGTCTATATGCACCTTGCCAGGTTTGATGGCATTTCTTCTCTGGGCTCATAAGAGATGCTGAACTCAAACTTGCTGATTTTCATGCTGTGCTTATGAAGATTTATTTTTTTTAACATGTTCTGCTGCTCGAGATGCTGGAATTTGAGGACAGGTGCTTTTATGGGTTAGAGTGAGCCCAAACTCTTGTCTCTATGTAATATTATTTTAGGACACTTTTTGATTGGCATTTCAATTCCAAGAAAGTCCTGTTAGAGAGGACCCACAGAAGCACTCTCTGTTTTGTCTAACTTACTGTTTTTAAATTGATAAGAGCTGTACGAATGGAAAAAACCCCTCAAATTACTGGTGTAAGCTGCATCTCCAGCACGGCCTTTCCCAGCGGGGAGAGGAGCTCCCGGCCCTTTCGCCTCCACCGTGGGCTGGAGCTGGTGGGGGGGGGTTCCGGGGTTCTGTGTCCCGGGAGGGCCGTCCCCCCCGGTTCCATCGCGCTGTCGTTACCGGTGCGAGCAGCCGGTGCCTTCCCGGGAGAGGCGGTCCCGCTGCCGGGCGGCAGAGGGAAGGGCCGGCCCTCCCGGGGGTGCTGAGGCGGCGGCGGGTCCGTGCCCTCCCGGCTCCCCCGGGGCGAGGGGCTGGCGGTTCCTCCCGGCGGGCCGGTGCCGGCCGCGGTGCCGCCTCCCGGGGATGTGGTGGCGGCCATTGGCCGCGGGACGTGTCACTCGGGCGAGCCGGGCCTGGGCGAGCGGCGGCGGGAGGAAGCGGCGGCCGCGCCGCGCCGGGCGGGAGGGAGCGGCCCTGGGCGCGGCCCCGGCCATCGATCCGTGCCACTTCCCCTAATGGCCCGTCTCTTCCTCCTCCTCCTCCTCCTCCTCCCCCTCCCCTAGGGCGGATCGTCCCCCGGCCTCCCTGTATGTGAGAGACGGGGCCGGCGTCTCGGAGGGAGCCGGGCCGCGGGAGGAGCGGAGGCTTCGGGGGAGCGCTTCCTTCCCAGCGCCGTGCGCGGCAGCCCCAGCATGGAAGCCATCGCCAAGTACGACTTCAAAGCCACGGCGGATGACGAGCTGAGCTTCAAACGGGGGGACATTCTTAAGGTAAGTGGAGGGGGAGGGCTGGGGGGGGTTCCCTCCTTCCCCCCCGCGGCTTTTCGGGTTTCTCTCCTGAGCCTCTTCCTGTCCGTCAGACCTGACCCTCTGCTGTGTCCCCAGCGAACGCCATCTCCTTTTAACAGGGTACCTCGGGATTTCCTCAATCCCACTCTCGCCTCTTTAAGAGCAGGAGAGGCTGTTCCGTTTCTGTGTTGAGCATGCATCCCAAAGTCTCTAATTTCTCTCTTCCGAGACTGGAATATTTGAAAACTTAGTTGTAAACATGGTAGCAAATAAGCAGAAGTACAGGGTAACCTCTACACTGAATTCCCTGCTATGAGAGGAAACCCCTTAAACTAATCAAGATCAATTTTGTATTCCTTTCCTTTGCCTCCTGCCAAGGATTCCAATATCAAAGAACTGTGATTAGATTATTTCTCAGTAGATAATCTTTTAGCATCAGGCTGTCAAATATTGGTGCTGAGTTTTATCTTCAGTCCTGATGAACTCAAGTGATAAGCTTGTGGCTGAATATTTAATGGGTCTGTGCAGATGTGAGTGGATGTTGGAGTACATTAGAGGAATTTTGGTCTATATTTCTTTCAATATATCACAGGCTTTTAGATTTCATCTTGGCTATGTTAAAGGAATTTGAAAAATACTTGAATTTCTAAAAGTTTATTGAAAAAAACCTGGACACACAGAACAAGATCAACGCTTTATTTTGTGGGGCAGTAAAATACAAAACCCATAGTGATTTGGCCTCAGTTGAAGCATAGCTCTGAGATCTGTTGCTTCCAAATAATACAAAACATGTTGCAGAATCTTTTAATGGAGTTTCATTCAGAGGCAGTATTTCTCCATAAAAGTATAAGATGGGCTTTACCTTCCAGAGTGATGTATTTAGTAGTATTTTAAGTTGCTTCTTTCTAAAAGGCTCTAAGTAGAAACTGTTTTGAGAGGTGCCTGTCCTGCAGATTCAAGGCTGTAACTTTGTGTGTGCTGACAAATCAAGTACTGCAGACCTCAGTGGGATTGCTCATCTGCTTAGAATTTTTGCCACGGAAGGGCTTGATTTTACTGTTTTAAAGTAAGTTGGAAGAAACAACCTCTAGCTGTAAACTTAATATGTATCTTTTATAGCTGATACTTCAGTAACGTAACTGTGGCTTTGTTAAAAGTGCAGCAATATTGTGTAGCCATCAACAGGTAAAATGTTGCAAAAATGTATCCTGCTTTGAGATTGTTAACTTCTAAAATCATGTATGTATCGTGCACATCCCTGGCTCATAATCGGCCTAAAAATGCCTGTTAGACCTGTACAGCTCAATCCCAGTGTTTATGTAAATTACCAGAATATTTCCTTTTACTGTTTTTAAACATTTGAGACTGTCAGAATTTTAGAAGTCTTCTGTGTTAATCTTTCATTTCTTTTACTTAACCTGAGCTGCATTTTCTATTTTGGGTTACTACTAGCTGCCCTCAGCTTTTATAGTGTATTTGAAGTAGAGCACAACTGAAGTACGTTTGTAGAAAATGCTGAACAGGAAGGAAAAATTAAGGATAATGAAATATAGTTTATTTTAAAGTGTATTTATAATTACTTTTATCCAGTTTGTTACAGGAGTTTGCTGAAGTACATGAAAAAATGTCTTGTAAAATTTGCATTCATTTAAAATGTTTTCTTCTCTAACAATTAAAGGAAAAATAACTTTTTTTCCAGACTTCTGGAAAAGCTTAGTCTGTGCTAAAACTCTTACAACTGTGCACAGTGGCACAGTTGCTGTTATGATCTTCTTGAGTCCTAGCCGTATGATGTCATCCCATAGATACAAATTTTGTCACATGCTGATATGTGGTGTTACACTACAGTAATCATTGTATTTTTCCTAGAATACAGAGAGGGATTTTCCTACTCTAAGCAAAACCTAGGCTGAACACTTCCTCAAAGTGTTGATGAACAGTTCTTCTTCTTTCCAGCTCGTATTTTGAAAATATTTACAGATTTTACCTATTTGCTTCATAGATTAGTAAAGTGAGTTGTGGAAATAGTAAACTGCTCAAGATTACCACTAAAGTTAGTGGAAACTAAAAGAGTTTCAGGAATCCTTCTTCAGCACATAGTTGAGTTCTATGCGGTGTGGTAAGGTTCAGTATCTAAATCTGGCAAATTTCAGACAAACAAGCCAACAGAATTAGAATTGTCACAGTTCACTCAGACTGACAAACTTGTCGCGTGTTGTCATTTTGAAAGTCTGGTTCATTTCAAATGTGTTTCAGGTTGTGGAAATTAATTTCCGTCAGACATGCCGGAGCTGTTTTATTAGTACTTTGCTCATAACTGAGAAATCTCAGGGTATCCCATTCATGTGCCTCATGTGATCTGTCTTATTAATCAGGTCAGTCTTGCTTCCCTCAAATGAATTGGGAAGAGAAATAAGCCTGTAATGTGTTGAATGCACCTGTGTGCTTTGCTCTTTAGAGATCCCTTGCTGAGGTGCACATGGAACTGGATGTGTAGTGAAGCCTTCTTTAAGTCTGGCTGTTAGACATCTGTTTTATGCACCTCTGGAAAGTCAAGTTAGTTTGATGGCATATGCAGTAATGGCAAAAGATCGTTTCACAGAGAAATGTTACGCCTTGGCCCCACTAAGGAAAGAACAAAATCTATAACGCTTTAATTCCTACGCCTTAAAAGTTCATGTTTCTGTTGGTGTGGAGGGAAGGCAAAGATGCACCCTGTGTGACTCCCTCTGACTTCAGCAGATAGCTTGCCTGTGATGTCATGGTGCCGTTCCTGCTGCATACCCACGTATTCGGGGCTTGATTGAGTATCGTTTGAACTGTAGCCATTAAGCTGGTGGTTAGTAATCTTGTGGCTGGTTTCCAAAAGCGAGTGAAGATAGTTGACCTTTGGCTTGCAATTGTAAAACAGCTGAGTGAAGAGGAAAAGTGCTTGGCCTTTTCTTTCGTGGGCACTGTATTGGTAGAAGCTGCTTCTATGATTTTTGTGACTCTGGCAGCACACTGCATCACCTTACCCTTGTGTCTGGTGGTCCTATAGCAGTGTGTGGTATTGCTGTGCAGGAGATGCACACTGACAGCTTGCTTTAAACTTTTAAAATATGCTAAATACTACCTGATTAACCTTTTCCAGAGAAAGGAAAGGTGGCTGCTTCCTTCCGTGTCTTCTGATTACAGTACTGTGCTGTAGCTCTCAAGATCACCATTCTTTTCATGTACTGGTGATTGTTTTGCAAAAGCTTGTTGGTGACTGGCATGTTATTGGGTGTGTGAAGATAGCCTCTCTTGTTATATAAAAAATTAAAAAAAGGAAACTGAGGGATTCCTACTTGAAATTTTGATTTACTGTTTTTCACTTTGAACAATTGACGGTTGTCATGATGCTTTCTCATTCTTTTCCGCTTTCACTTGCTGTATTTATTGAAGTTGGGAGTATTTAACTTCAGTCTCAGCCTATATTTGTTATTCAGGTTTTATGTCCCCAAAATCTATTGTATTTCTAACAGCCTCTGTTTTTGTTGGCCTTTGTGCTAACTGGCAAGTACCCAGACCTAAAGTGTGCTAATACTTGCTGGTGGTTTGGGGAGGTGGGGGGGGGGGGGGGGAAGAGGGGGAGGGAAAGGACACAAAAACCCAACTTCTATATTCAACACGCTTCTATATTTGAGCAGCACAGCCCAACAGACGGGGGGGGGAGGAGGGGGAAGAAAGATCATCATTCTTTCTCTCATCTCATCATCATTTCTTTTCTCTATTCCTCCCACACCTAATCTGAAGTGTATAGTTAATACCATGGTGCTCTGATAACTGTTTCTGCATGGTTAATACATAAGCACTAAACATATTCATAGATATCTTGAATGTTAGAATTGTGGGTTTTTTAAAAAAACTACAGACCAGTGCTCCGTTTCCTCTTTCTCCTCCTTCTGTCACAGGGTTGGGGCATAGCTGGGAAGCCACCTTCTGAACAGCTGAGTAGATTCCCCCCAGTAGTTTTCAGCATAATTAGTTCGGGGGGACTTACAGATTGTTTTTATGAGTAAAATTATTCAAGTGGTGTTTTAAATAGAGGCCTTCATCATCTTTAATTTTGGGATTTTCACTTTTGTGTGACAGTCAAACCAGCTGCCCCATACACTTAAAGAAGGAATTCCTTGGTAGGATTTCGATAATATGACAGCTTTGTTCAGCAAAGTCAAGATTATTTTTTCTTTCTACTCTGATCATATACTTGACAGTCACTGCAGGTTCTGTTCATGGGATTGTTTACCACCAGAATTATTTTGTTTCTGTCAGCCTTTAGGAGGATTGAGTGTTTGCAAACAGTTGATGCTGAGATGGCATTTTCAGTTCCTGCGTGAAAACCATTTTTCTGTGGCTGGATCCAGTAGCACAGTTTTGAATAAAGGGAGGAGTATGGTAAACCAGGGGGAGCATGGTCTCCCTTCTCTTCTTCTTCATCCCTTGTCTTTTACCTCACCTCCGTTGGCTGTTATGTCATGGTGTCCGTGCTGGAGAACAAGAATTCATGGCTTGCTAAGGAGTAATGCAAAGAGTTTTCCTCTGGTTTGGGTGAAATTGTCTTCAGTCTCATCTTTCCTCTCCTTTCCTTACACACCTCCTTCATCTTTCCCCATTTTTTGTAAGGGGATGGACTCAATGTGGTCTTGATGATTTTAAAAAGTGAAAAACTGTTTTCTGAATTAATGATTTGGGCAAAATGCAAGCACTGTGCGCTTAATAATGATATAGGTCAAATATTGGAACAGGTTGCCCAGAGAAGTTGTGGAATCCCCATCCTCGGAGATACCCAGACAATTCCCTGAACACTCTGACCTAATTAGACCTGTTTTAAGCAGGAGGGTGTAGTGGGTGACCTCCAGAGGCTCTTCCAGCCTACGTTATTCTGGGACTCAGCTGTGAGCGTCAGCTCTGTTGTATTGTAAAGGTGCATGTAAGTCATGTTCCTTGGCTTGCAGGCT